GAGTTTGGAAAAGGGAAGACAAAAACAAATACAAACAAAAAAACAAGATCACAGGTGCCTTCTCAGACAAATGAGTTTCAGAAAGAAACAGATAAAAAAAATGGAGGGATTGAAAATTAATTTTCTTCAAAATATTCTTGTCCTCGTAACTTTTGGTGAGTCTTTTCATGTGAGTAGAAATAGCCTTACTCCACCTTGAATTCCACTGGCATGGTGGAGTCACTGATACTCAAACAAATTCAGCCATAGGTCAGGCAAACAAAACCAAAAGAGAAATAAAAGTAAGTTTGAAAGTAGAACTGATCTCTGCTTGCCATGCTCATGAATTTGTTCTTTAGGCTACTTATTCCCAAACACCTTTGTATATTGGAACCACCAAGGGGGCTTTACAAATACTGATGCCTGGGGGCTGATCAGACATTCTGATTAAATTGGTAGGGGGTGCCTGGGCATTGAAATGTTAAAAACTCCATAGGTAATTCCAATGTGCAGTCAAATTTGAGGCAAAACTCACTTTAGGAAGGATACAATAAAGCAAGAAACAACGGTGTTTATTAAGTAAATCTTTAGGTGACTATGTCAATGATTTTGAGGACTTCACCTCAAAATTGACAGAGATGTGGAAACGACGGAATAATTAGTAAGACTTTGAGACAGTGTTTGCTTTAGAACAACCTATAGAAACTAATTGGAGGGTACGAGAAAAAATTACTTTTAAAAAAATTAGAGGAATTGATAAAATAATCCAGAGAGTTGTAAGGTAGATACAAAATAATAAATGCTATATTTTATGAGCACTTTAACAAATGTTTGCAGGTAATCTTGTTTCTAGGTGATTTAAAAGTTTCTTCAGTTTGGAATCCAACCTCCACCTTCATATTAATATTAATATAGGTTCATTTATGAGTTACCTATTTTTGTGCTGCCATATTTATATACATACAAAAATATAGTGGCAGCAAAAACACTGAAATCTTAGTGCTAGTTGTCTCCAGTGTTTTCTATCAGGTGGTATTGCAATTTTAACCAGCACACTTCTATATTCTCTAAAATTACAAAGCAAAACAACGTTCAAGAAAGCTATTCTGAGAGTATGGTAATCCTCTTCCTGAGGCAAGAATGCATGTCATCAGAGAGCTAAGGTGTACTTTTTGCCCACAAGACACCATGATTCAAGGCAAGAAGACAACAGTGATCATCTTTTGCCAGCACAGGCAGGGGTCATGAGAAATGTCATTTGTATTCTTCAACTTGCAGCAAAATCAACAAAATTTACCAGGATAAATGGCCAATGTCAATATCACCTATGTCACTGAGTTCATTCTAAAGGGAATTACAGACCGGCCAGAGCTTCAGGCCCCATGCTTTGTGGTGTTTTTCGTCATCTATCTGGTCACAGTGCTGGGCAACCTGGGGTTGATAACCTTAATCAGGATTGACACTCAACTTCACACACCTATGTACTATTTCCTCAGTCACTTGGCCTTTGTTGACCTTTGCTACTCCTCTGCTATCACACCAAAGATGATGGTTGTTGTGGAACTCAATACTATTCCTTTCCATGCTTGTGCAACACAACTGGGTTGTTTTCTCGCCTTCGTGATCACCGAGTGTTTCCTTTTGGCTTCCATGGCCTATGATCGCTATGTGGCCATCTGTAGTCCCCTGCACTATTCAATCCTGATGTCAAGAAGACTCTGCATTCAATTAGTGGCAGTTCCATATATATACAGTTTTTTGGTTGCCCTGTTCCATACCATTATCACCTTCCGTCTAACTTACTGTGGCCCTAACGTAATTAACCATTTCTACTGTGATGACTTCCCTCTCTTGGCTCTGTCCTGCTCAGACACACACGTGAAGGAAATTCTGATCTTTGCCTTTGCTGGTTTTAATATGATCTGTTCCTCTTCTATCATCCTCACCTCCTACATCTTTATCATTGCTGCCATCCTAAGGATCCGCTCTACACAGGGGCGACGCAAGGCCATTTCCACCTGTGGCTCCCATATGGTGGCTGTCACTATTTTCTATGGCACCTTGATCTTTATGTACCTGCAGCCTAAATCAAATCACTCCCTGGACACAGACAAAATGGCATCTGTATTTTACACAGTGGTGATCCCGATGTTGAACCCCCTGATCTATAGTCTAAGGAACAAAGAGGTGAAAGATGCTTCAAAGAAAGCCTTGGATAAAGGTTGTGAGACCTTAAAGCTATTAAAATTAAGAAAATAACAATAATAAGTGCTTTATTAAATGCAAGAAGGTAAATAAATCAAACTTTCTCCTGCTGACATTTCTTGTCATTCTTTCCTAATCGATTGAAAATGTGACTGTACTTCAGCAGACATTGACCTTTTCTATAAGAACCCAGATGGAGTCTGGAGAGTCAGTGTGTGATTCAGAGAATCCCATTCAGGCCACTGCAGCCTTTACAGATGACTGAAATTATGGTCAAATACACCCTCAAACGCACACCTGTGTATCTCAAGCGAAGGCAGCAGCGTGTTTTTGTTAGAACTTACTACTCTGGAGCTAGGGCTGCCTGAGTTTGAATGTTATTCTCTTCCTCTATTAGCCATGCCCCCATGGACAATTGACTTAAACTGTGTGACTGTTTCTCATTCTGGAAAGTAAGAGGTCCCAACTCATTGGTTTGTTTTAAAGATGAAACAAGTTAATATTTATGAAATGCTTACAACAATATCCTGTGATAATAAGTGCTATGAATGTATTTTTTATATAAATGTTTGTTAACTAATTGAATTTAAATAAAATAAGATTTTAAAAAAGGTTAATTCATTGAGTTCTCAAAGCCTAATCAGTCTTGAAGGAAGAGGAACAAAGCCTGGTTAGGTTTCTACTACCTTCCAGGCAATCAAGTAGTATCAAGTAGTCCTACTTAATACAATCAAATAAACCTAGGAAATGTCTGAGACTTTACCTCTGCTCCTCAATTATGTATAAAGTGCCTAAGTTCACATAGCTAGTAACATGATAATTCTAAATGCAAATTTAAGTCTGTAATTTAGAAGTATATATGAGGACCATGGCATAATCATTGACACCTAATATGGGGTTGGTAAAAAAAGATAGCTTTATTATCATTATCAGTGACATGGACCATCCTGAAGACATATTCGTATAGATCAAGGATTTTTTTTTGGTAACTACAACTGATTAGTGGTTTACTTTGAATAAAAATCCAAGCAATTGTCTTCTCATATTTATATTAAAAGCTTTAGACTTTCTATTAGATTTTCTTTAATTTGGTTACTCTTCACTTTTCTTCAGTTTGTTGAATGAAGACTGAATTGTTCTAAAAAGAACTGTGCCCTTTCTGTATAACTTGTTTTTAAACGTTTTATTTGAATAAAAGGCCATCACTCAGTTCTAAAATTTTTGCCCTAACACTCACAATAATACAAATAAAAATAGCTGACTTTTATTAAGTGTTCACCACTGTTTGGCCTAATTCTACGTGGTTAGCATTTATCAACTCATTTAATATTCTTATCAATACTAAGATATAAGTCACACACATTGAAGTTTAATGTATGAAAATCAGAATTTACAAAGTAGAGAAATTAAGTGATCTTTAACCTATTTTACCTTCCAACAGGATAATTTAAACCTGTACAAAGTGAAAATTCCTTAAAAATATGCTTTAATTAAAATAATTCAATTATTTTGGAGGCACAGGATTTTCAGGACTCTATCTAGAATGTAAGTGTTCTGATAAATTCAATGCGTACTTTATTGTAATACTCACTTGTAAGTCCCTCATATTCTCTCAATTATATTTATTTATGTATTAGTTCAGAGGAACCCATTTTTTCTACATTTTTTGACTTCACCAAAGTAATATTAGAATGTAATCTATAAAGAACAACTAGTAATTATATATTTATAGACTCTTTTCCCCCTCAGGGCTTCTTTTAGGCACTTAATTTGGTCGTTAAACAACTAAACTAAGCATACGGTGTGGCATTTTATTATGTAAGCAATCACACAAATTGAAGACCATTAGAGATAACTTTTCTTAAAAGTCTCAATTTAGGGGCACCTGGGTGTCTCAAGTGGGTTAAGCATCTGCCTTTGGCTCAGGTCATGATCCCAGGGTCTGGGATCCAGCCCCACATCCAGCTCTCCACTCAGCAGGGAACCTGCTTCTCCCTCTCCCTCTGCCTACTTGTGCTCTCTCTCTCTCTCTCTCTCTCTCTCTGTCAAATAAATAAATAAATAAATCTTTAAAAGTCTCATTTTTTTATTTTTTTAAAGATTTTATTTATTTCTTTGAAAGAGAAAGAGAGAATATATGGGGAGTGGAGGGAGGGGCAGAGGGAGAGGGAGAAGCAGACTCCCCACTGAGCAGGGATCCCAATCCCAGGACCCTGGGATCATGACCTGAGCTAAAGGCAGATGTTTAATCCACTGAGCCACCCAGGAACGTCTTAAAAGTCTCAATTTTTCAATGAGAAAATTATGTCTCCAGTCGCTAGGTCCTTTCCTTGGGTTGTAAACCAGGGCAGTTTTGTGATAGCAAATGGGACCCAGTCACATCAAAGTATTGAAGTGAAATATGGTTAGGCTTTATGGAAACCCTTGAGAATCTGACTTTCCAGGGAGATGGGAGATGCTCAGAAATATTTGAAGCTAACATCACTGGTAGGCAAAGGGATGAGAAAGGCAGAAGGTACTCAGCTTCATATGTGGTGACCTTTCCCTTTACTCTCTTTTCCAGAGTGTATGAGCAACAGGGGAGATACATTTTCTGTGCCAGACTAAGGCTCACATATCTTTCTAATTATTTCTTTGACTTGTGAAAAATTTAACTGAAATCTAGTTTTTAGGTGAATTTTTTGTGAATCAACATTCAGTGTTTTAAAAATCCCAAGGTTGTATAACTGTAACTGGAAATATAAGATAGCCATTTAAAAAGGAAGCTTTATAGTTGGACAAAATTGAATTCAAATCTTGCCACCCCCAATTATTAGATACGTGTTGTGTTAATGAATTATATAAACTGTTTAGAATTTTTTGGGTTTTAGATACCTGTCTCAAGCAGGGTGTCAGGAAGATTAACCATGTAATTGATTAAAGTAACTAATTTAAAGCACTTCTGGAAAAACATTCAATAGAAAGACAATAGCATATCATTTCACTCATATGTGGAATTTAAGAAAGAAAACAAAGGAAAAAGGAGACAAACCAAAAAGCAAACCCTTTAACTCTAGAGCACAAACTGATGGTTAGCAGAGGTGATGTGGGTGGAAGGATGGTGAAATAGGTGGTGGGGATTTAAAAAAAAAAAATCAATGTTAGCTCTGTTTTTACTTTGAAAAGTTTCAAACTAGTTAAATTCATTATTTATTTGTCTAGTCATTGCTAAATGTAACAAAAGCAGCTTAATTCTTTCTTCAAGAAAAAAGATGCTTATTTTAATAGCAGGAGTGGAGGAACCTAAAAAAATTCAGTTTAAAATATGTTCATAAACATATGACGGAAAAGGAAATTTAAAAGAACTGAATTGTTTTGAGGATCACAATAAAATAATTTCTTAGCTTTTACATTTTCATTTTGTTGATTTTGAAATGAAGCATGTCATGTTGCCAACTATTTCCTAAAACCTAAAACCTAATAAAAGGAATCACTGATACAATAACAATGTTAATAATTAAGTATAATAGTCAACACTTATGAAATGCTTGCTGTGTGTTGGATTTGAGAAAGAGACCAGGAGCAGGGGGAGGGGCAAAGGGAAAGGGAGAAGCAGACCCCCTGCTGAGGGGAGCCTGACAAGGGACTGGATCCCAGGACCCCAAGATCATGACCTGAGCCAAAGTCAGAGGCTTAATCGACTGAGCCACCCAGGTGGCCCCATGCGACACCTTTTGTATTCAAATCTTATTTAATCCTCATAAGCAGTCCTAAAGAAAGGAACCATTACTACCTTTTGCAGTGGGGAAACCAAGATACAGAAGTGTAAAATAATTTACCAATGGCAACAGCTCTTGGAAAAGCTAAGATTGTTGCCAAACTGTGGGAATGAAGAGTCCACATTCCTAACTACACACTTAATATAACATAGGCAGTTGGGGCACCTGGGTGGCTCAGTTGTCAGGCTCAGGTCATGGTCTCAGGGTCTTGGGATCGAGTCCCACATGGGGCTCCCTGCTCTGTGGGAAGCCTGCTTCTCCCTCTCCCACTCCCCCTGCTTGTATTCCTTCTCTCATCGCATCTCTCTCTGTCAAATAAATAAAATCTTATATATATATATATATATATATAACATAGGCAGTGAATTATAATCAGGTAAAGTGACTCCACTGAACTAAACTGATACAGAATCAGTGTCACTAAATACTCAATGTTAAGGGAGCCTGGTGGGTGCTTTTAGCTGAATGCAGAAAGTGGAGTATCAGGGAAATTATCCATAGTGTTAAAGCCAAAAATCCTTGCTATTCAATTTTGACATGTTTTCCAGATTATCTATGCAGCAACTTGAAATACAAGATACCAGATGTTGATCTATTTCAGTACAACCCAGATTTTTCAATACGACACAGAATTCAGATAAAGCCACTATTCCCCCATACTCTGTTCCTTTGATTTTGGAGAAGATGTCATGGTCAAACAGGTTAAGAATCTCTTTCTCTTTCTCTCTACCCCCCCACCCCTGACTCTCTCTGGCTCTCACTCTCTTGCTTTCTCTATTTTTCTCTCTCCTTTTACAATTCAATAACTTAAAATTTACAGAATGCCTTTCATGTGGAAATCACAGAATGGAACAGTGGGTAAGACATCTCCTGATTGAATTTGAGCCCTGGAAGTGAGGAATTCAAATCTACCATTTGTCAGCATTGTAACTCTATGTAAGACAACAGCTCAAAGTCCTCTGATTCCTGTCCGGTGATTTTTCAGTTATCTGACAGCCAAACACAACTTTCCTATAATTCTTTTCAGTGCATTTTTTACCTCCTGATTCCTCAAGCTGTAGATCAGTGGGTTTAACACGGGGATCATTACCATATAAAACACCGAAGCAAATTTATCTGTGTTCAGAGAATGGCTCGACTTGGGCAGTGGTACTTAAAAATGATTGTCCCATAAAATATTGTGATGGAGGTGAGGTGGGAAGCAAACATCAAAAAGGCTTTCTGTCTTCCTTCAGTAGAATGGATCCTTAGGATGGCAAAGAAGATGAGTATATAAGAAATTATTACAAGCAGTAG